CGCCCGGCATCGGTCGACGCCAGCGCCACTGGCGGCTCTTCTGGAACTACGAATGTGCCGTCTTTTCACGGCCGTCTTTTCGCCCGCTGCCGGCTGGAGAGCCTACACCGTATTCACTACATCGTGCCGTTAGCTTACTCACGATACCATTGTCGCCTTCCAGGGGCACGTCCTCCAAATCCTTGGGTGCGCAGAGCCGTGCCGCCAGGTCCAACGTGCCCATCCCACACACCATCAAGAAAGCTGCCCTCTTGCCAACCGGGCAGCCCTCCGCTTTTTTGATCAAATGTAGATGACGAGTCCATTGGGTAGGGTCGGTGATGTTGAATTCGAGGAGGTTTTTGGTGTGTTGCTCCTGGTGGCCCGCCGGCTGATCGTCACCCGATCTGTTGCCTAGTGGTTAGGAAAAACGTTAACAATTCTTGTTAACTGTGAACCGAACCCATGGTTGGGGAAATTTAGTCGCTTTAGGTGTTAAACGAACTTTAAAGGCACGCAAAGCATTCTTTAAATTGTTGACGTATCTTTGTGCATGGTGTCTTTTTGTATAATGGTCTTCTTATTTTATAACTGCACACAACTTTTCGCGTGGGCGGCGCGTAATCTAGACACCTAGTTTTGCGCATGATTCTCACACCAGGCCTGATTTTCACCTCCTTCGTGATAAGATTCGATTCCTGATTGGCTGCGTATAGCTTACGAAGCGTGAAAATCACGCCTGGCGTGAAAATCCACACATAATTTTACACTATTTTTCACGAGGGTGGCACGCGCGCGTGGAGCGGACTACCGAGAGCAAGGTGTTCATTGTTGGGCTGTTACCCAGACGCGGCTCAAAATGCAGCAGGTGGTGTTGAACGATCTCCCGCTTCCCCCCCTGCGCCGCGGTGTCTGGTAGAAATGTGTTCGTTTAAAAACTAACCGAACTAACCAAACCGAGTTGCTGCGGCTTGCCGTGCTGATCCTCTGCTTCGTCCTCGTCGCCAGTATTGAAGGCGAAATGAAGGGGCACATGTGCTCTAATGTAGTTTATTGAGCTGCTCCACGCAACACTCCATACAAGCGTTGGGCCAAGACTGCCCGCCCCAGGGTTTGAGATAGGGTTGGAAGAACAGACTAACGATTATTCGATTGTTCGCACAAAGATAATAATTCGAATTCGATTCACCGCGTTATCCGAAATGGGGAGTCTTTCAAAGCTTTAAATTACTGTCAGAACCGAGAGGTAGGCGACTTGAATTTTTCGGAGTACACGGAGTACAGTCGGAGAACACTGAGTATTGCCGGTCGGAGCGCGCAGAGTACACCTGGAGTACACCTGGAGTACACCTGGAGTACACCCGGAGTACACCCGGAGTACACCGGAGTACGCGGAGAACTTGCGACAAAAACAGCCGGAGTACACGGAGTACAGTCGGAGTACAATCGGAGAACACCTGGAGTACGTTTTGGCCTGTACACAGGAGCCGCCCAGTCGTCCACCCCTCGGTCAGAACCACCAGAATGTGGCCCGAGCACGTCTTCGGCATCAGCTCGACTGAAGCGAGATGCTTGCGGTGGCGTGTACCCGAGCTGCGAACCGAGAGCTAAGTCAGCTCCACCGAGCGTGCTTGGCAGCACCCGCATTATATGGGTTACATGAGTAAAATTTTACTGTCTTTTACATGTGAGAAGACAATTCGATTAATATCAGCTCAAAAACAACAGCGTGAATACGCCATTTAGCTGTTTTGTTACGTTTGCCCCTAATGGATATGCAACCCATCGTACAGGGGCCCAGACACGCGGTCAAGTTGGGCACCACTTCTCAAAGGTGACCTAGGGGTATGTACTACATGCCCCAAAAGTCGGCTTTGCTCTACTAAAACAAAGCAAGGTGGTTTGACTTAACAAGAATACTACTGTGCTGTCGGTCTAAGCTCCGCCCACCCCACCCTACCGCAGTGCTACAAACACGCGTCGCTGCTCCGTGACTCAAATCCGTTCGGAAAAAATACTCACTGCAAAAAATTCGAGGGGTGGATAACTCCTGAATTGGGTGTACAAATTTCAAGAATTGAATTTGAGTTAGCTTGAATTGGCTTGAATTGAATTTGAATTGGACTGAATTGGTTGAATTGGTTTTGAATTGGTTTGAATTATTGCGATTTTATGTTTCTGAATTCGCGTGAATTGGCTCGAATTGAATGTAAATTGTCTTGAATTGGACTGAATTAGTTGAATTAGTTTTGAATTTGTTTGAATTAAATTGAATTGGGCAGAATTAGGGGTGTACACTTGGCAGGGGAGTTATCCACCCCTCGAAAAAATTAGAGTCTGATACGGAACGATCTACAGCGTTACTGTAGATGCCGCTCTGAGCCACTGCACCTAGGGTACAGAACGCGGAGTACAGTGTTGCTGTAGCACCGGAAAGCCCAGGTTTTACGTGGTACAGTGTACGAAGACGGCTCCACTGTACACAGTTTTGTTCGCTTTTGCCTGTACACACCCAGAAAAATCGTTTCTTGAATCAAGTCTAAAAAAACTCTTTTAAATGTGCTCTTGTTTTTCTTCTTGTTACAATACCACGTGCACTTGTAACAAGAGCATTTTTCAAGTGCTGCTCCCAAGAGCATTGCCACTGAAATCAAGAGCAATTTGGTCTTGCTACCTGCGCCGATCTCGGGTCGCGTTCGGGACTACTCGGTCACACTCGGGTTGTGGTCGGGACTAGGGTAAGGGGCCCAGTAGTCGACAGTTTAAGAGCAAGGCTTTTCAAAATTGCCTACAACGGAGCGTGGGTGTACGGTAGCGTCAAGGAAAAATTTCGGGGGTGTAGTGGAAGGATCAAACTTTATGCCCCATA